TAGAGTCGGAGTCGACTCCACCTTATCTAGAATAGTGCAGCTCCAGAGCCTGTGATAAAGAGACATGACAGAGATTAAACCAGTTAGTTAACCGAGTTTAGAGTAACTACAGATTACAGTGGTATGATAAAATTTAGGTTTATTTCGCAGAATGAGGGGAAATTCGGAGTGATTAACTGATAAAATCATCACTGTAGTCAGAATTAGCCATCGAGTGGCCCTACTGAGCATGCGCATTTCATTACTACAGTGTAGTAACTTCCTGTTTCAAACGTTTTATTGCGTTAATTCAGTACAGACTCGGTTTAATATTATTACTTACTCCCTCATAAGGTGATCAAAATGACTAATTATGCTTTTCATGCTGGTGACGTTTTCTGATTAGGAGATTGAGGCTATCAAATTATCCTCCCTATAGATTTCAGTGCTGGTAGCTTTTTCTCAAAGGGTCATTTAGGCCATCAAAACATCCTACCTACAGTTTTATGTAGAGCTCTACCTAAAAATATGCGATACGGTAGGACATTTCGACAAGGAGGCACAAATCTTTAGAACAGGACGCAAGTTAGCTTCGTATTTACCAGCCCGTGTAACTTTTCCGTTCCACCTTAAATGATGCAGCATTTACCATAACGGTGCGCCGGCGCCAGAGTGTAACTGCAGCGCTATTTAAGGTGGAACGGAAATTTGAACAAGAAGCTGGCAGATAAGGAGCGAATCTCAGCTTAGTCCTCTTTTCCACAAAACTCCGTGAAAAACACTGTTTGTTTTCGGTTTCGTTCCTTGTTCCGTTTCTAAAAGGTGTTTATTGCGACCCAAATGGTGAAGAATATTTGGGGCTCCGGTTCAGACGGATCGAAACGGTTTCTGTGAGCGGAGCTTGTGTTTACAGCGGCTGGTGAGCAGCGATCGCATAGTTTACAGCCGCTAACTAAACTCAAAACGTCACTCGAGCCATTTACAGTTAGAAACACGAGTCCAAGAGTCGACTCCGAGCTTTTCGACTCTAAGAGTCACTGGCCAAAAGTCGACCTCAACTAGCAGACGCGCTGGAGTCGAAGAACCGACTCTTTTAGAATCGACTCCTCATTACTACTCTAAAGGGGCCGAAGAGGCTCTTTTGTGAACCATAACAAGCAAGATTTTGGAAAGAACTTGGAAAAGGACAAAGACTTATCTGTTTGAAGGTCCTCTGTCTCTAAGCAGTACAGTACGCAGCAACACTGTTCACTAAATATGCTATAAATGTATTAATGAGTTGCAGTTGTTTGTTTCTGCTAGCTTAGCTGGCTAGCGGTGGATCGCACACGTTAGCGTGTAAACAAACCACCTAGCGTTAGCTAGCATACAGACACCAAGAGCAGTGATCAAATATCGCAGTATATCTTTCAAGTTCACTTCATAAAGCTACTCACTGTATTTATATGAATGTTTATTATGGCACACATGACAAAATATAAACGAACTGGGGTGCTGCACAGCTAGAATAGACCGGTTAGCTGTGCTTCGTTTCCTTGAGAGTTTGGCGTTTATCCACGTTTAGGTTGCTGCTGTGTAGTTAGTCAAAGGAGAATTCTGCTGATTTTTCAAAATTTCTCCATAAACCAATGATTAAGCTGTAAACAGAGTCGTTCAGAGTGGTTTGGTGTGAAACGCCCTGTTCTAGAGAAACTTGCAGAGTCAGAACTGTTCACAGTGGTGGTGATAGGAACCAGACGTCCACCTCCAAAAGCTCCCTCATAGAAGGTTACTACAGTAAATGGTGATGATGTCTGAGACGTTGTTTTATGATAGTTTTGTCAAAGTTTTGGCCTAAAATTTCATTCGTTGATCAGTTTACTTGAATCCATTCACGGCGGAGTGGTACATGCAGGGCGTTGTGAGGCAAAATAGTCCCCAAAGAAAATGTATTTTTCCAAATTTATGACTTTTACCAGCATCAACATTCCAAAGCACAGTCAGAAGACTCGTGTAGGTTCACTGGTGGTTTTGGATAGTAAATTAAATGCCCATATCTGTGTTGTAAACATGGTGACCCCGGTTCCTATCACCACCACTGTAAAGACATCTGATTCTCTACAATCAACCATTTCACACCAAACCACTCTGAATGACTCCGTTTTTATTGCAGTGATGGAATTATGCAGTTATTTGGAAAAACGGTGAAATTACATAGGTGAATTACATAGGCCAAGTTACTGGACTTTCATTGTGTTGGAATCCAAACGTGCAGAGGACAAGTGTTTCATCATTATTGTGTTTGGATATTGTGTGATCATGGTCAATTATATTTTCTTATCTAGCGCTTCTTTCTTTGGATGAACACAGGAAACAAAGCCCAGTAAAACCAAACCGAGCAGCTATGTATGATAGGATCAAGGCTCAGGGGGACCGGTTGTAGATAAACGGTCTATTTTAGTGAGGTGGATCGATACCAACATTAATTAGATAAACACTAAATCGCTGTTGTCGGAAGAAAACTTCTTATCTCCATTTTTGACGTTTTTAAGTTTTTAAAATAATTGGAAAATACCTGTTGCTCTTTACATTGTGCGTAAATTTCATGAAGAATGGACCAAAAGAAATGGCCCAAAATGACTAGGAAAGACGTCTGGTTCCTTTGACTTACGTTCAAAGTAGAGTATTTTTTTTCCTTCTCCTCTAAAGTTATCAATTCGGAGAAACAAGGTTTTCTTCCGACAACAGCGAAATACTTTTGGTACGTTAGGCCTGATATTCAGTAGCTGGAGTACCAGTGTTTACCTCACACTGGGTTCACGAGTGCTAAATCTCTTATTGTCTAGTGGTTAACTGAAAGATCTTAAATCTGAAGTCAAGTACCTTTACAGAAATGTCTCGGGTAGAATTACAAATGTACCAGGTCGAAACTCAACATAAGGACTGAGCAACTCATAAAACTGCAGTAGAACTTCTTGGTACATCCAGCATCTGTCAGCATAGGAACCGAAGTCTGTTAAGGGCTCTTTTTGGGATCTTTTTGGTCTAAAATAAAACACTAAAGCTCCAAAATCAGAGATGTTGGTTCATTAGTTGAACAACAAAAAAAAGCAGTGCAACTTATGAACCAACAACACAGAATGTTGCAGAAGTTAAACATAAAAGGAATTAATGTCATTTGATGAAAACACTCAGCCATTGAAATATGCGAGTAAATGTAACTAAACACATTCATACTGATAGAAGAGTGGATAGCTAAATAGATGGATTGACTGATATCCAGAAAATTATATAATTAAAAAGAGGGACCATGTCATTTCCTGCCACATATTATTATTATTATTATTATATTATTAGGCACCAGCAAATCTATTTTGACTCCAGGAGACCGTATGGATAGTGCTTCTCCAGAACATCCTGTCTCTTTGGATCTTTAATCTGAATGGCTGGTTCATGTTTCCTCTGATTGTCTCCATCCAACTTGTAGCTGGTCATTTTACCTTCAGCTCTTCCAAGCATGTTGTCCTTTCCAATGAATCGGTTCTTCTCAGAATGTGTCCAAAATAAGAGCTTCAGTTTGGTCATGTGGGCTTCAAGGCTTGATTTGGTTGAAGATCCATTTGTTTGTTTTCTTTGCCGTCGAACGTCTCTCAGAAGTCTTCGCCAACACCAAAGTTCAGAGGAGTCTTGCTTGTTTATTGACCATCTTTCACATCCATAAAGAACCACAGAGAATTGTTGCATTTAAAGATTTCTTTAAGCACCTTCATTCTTGTTCTGCTGAGCGCTGATCTGTGTCATGTTTCTTGACAGCTGGATCCTCTGTTCTTAATAATTGATCTGAGTAGGCCAAAGCTGTCCACCATCTCCACATCTTCTCCATCAGTGGTGAAGTTAGCAGCCTCTCCTGTCATTATGACCTCAGTTTTCTCTTATCTTGAGCTTATAAAGGCCTTCAGGTCTTCAGATTTTCCACTACGAGTGCTGTATCATCTGAATTTAGAAGGTTGTTGATGTTTCTACCACCAGTCTTGAATCTTCTGTCAGCTTCCTCCAGTCCTGCTTCTCTGTTATAAGGTCATATCAAACAAAACCTCAGATCTCCAAAGTGATGACTTTACAGTGATACTTTACTTGAGATGTAAGTCAGTGGAAGGAGATGTTTTCCTAAGTAATTTTGGGTCGTTTCTTTTGGTCCATTCATCATGAAATTAAGTGTAAAGAGAAAACGTACGGAGCCCTGTTGGTGACATCCCATATAAATAAAAATAGTATGTAATTAAGTTGTGGCCCTGACTTAGTAAGGCATGGGAACGAGATCCTAATGTGTGGGCATGACTTAGTAAAGTGTGGGAACAAGATCATGCCTTATTAAGCTGTGGTCAGGGCTTAATTATGTCTTAACTATGCCTTACTAAGTCACGGCCACACATTAGGATCTCTTTACCACAGCTTACTAAGTCATGGCCACAACTAATTATCTCGTTCCCGCGCCTTACTAAGTCACAGCCACGCATTAGAATCTCGTTACCACGGCTCACTAAGTCGTGACCACAACTAATTATCTCGTTCCCACGCCTTACTAAGCAGTGGCCATGCATTAGGATCCGTTCCCACTCCTTACTGAGTCACAGCCACAAATAATTATCTCGTTCGTACCACTTACCAAGTTGTGGCCACGCATTAGGATCTTGTTCCCATGCCTTACTAAGTCGTGGTCACAACTAATTATCTCGTTCCCACAGCTTGCAAAGTCATTGCCATGCATTGTTTTTTATTTTTATTTATACAGGATGTTGCCAGCAGGGCTCCGTAGAAAGAGGTACTTTGAAATTATGCCAAAAACTGAAAAAACGACAAAAATAGAGATGCGAGGTTTTGTTCCAACACCGGCAAACACAGGCTGAACATGTAAGGCTATGTTATGCAGGCTTGTCCAACTCCTTGGCCGATTGTCTGTCCATTTTCTGTCATGACTGTGTCTTGTTAACCTTGCGCTAATGCCTGCTGGACTGATATCGTTTTGCAGACTCAGAAGTACAATGGCATCTAAATTTTCGAGAGGAAAGACTGTGGAAAGGTCGCCCAGCCCTCAATCCGAGAGAATAATCAGTCAGCTCAGAGAGGAAAGCGCTTACTTGAAAAAGACACTTGATGAACTTGGTCACCAGAAGGGGGCGCCATCAGACTCAGAAAACAACAAGCTCTTAGAGGTAAAAGATTATTGCACTCCAGTAATGGAGCTCTATTTTATAGACATCATTCATTTAGGAGTAAGAGCTCGTACACAGTATTTACATTTGAAAACCTCATATTTGAACCAAAGTTAGTTGGGTGCTCACTGTATATACAGTCGTATATCTACACTGATCAGGCATAACATTATGACCACCTCCTTGTTTCTACGCTCATCGTCCATTTTATCAGCTCCACTTACTATATAGGTGCACTTTGTAGTTCTACAGTTACAGACTGTAGTCCATCTGTTTCTCTGCATACTTTGTTAGCCCCCTTTTACCCTGTTCTTCAGTGGTCAGGACCCCCATGGACCCTCACAGAGCAGGTACTATTTGGGTGGTGGATCATTCTCAGGACTGCAGTGACACTGATGTGCTGGTGGTGTGTTAGTGTGTGTTGCGCTGGTCTGAGTGGATCAGACACAGCAGTCCTGCTGGAGTTTTTAAACACCTCAGTGTCTCTGCTGGACTGAGAATAGTCCACCAACCAAAAATATCCAGCCAACAGCGTCCTGTGGCCACTGATGAAGGACTAGAGGATGACCAACACAAACTGTGCAGCAGCAGATGAGCTATCGTCTCTGACTTTACATCTACAAGGTGGACTGACAAGGTAGGAGTGTCTAATGGAGTGGACAGTGAGTGGACACAGTGTTTAAAAACTCCAGCAGCACTGCTGTGTCTGATCCACTCAGACCAGCACAACACACACTAACACACCACCACCACGTCAGTGTTACTGCAGTTCTGAGAATGATCCACCACCCAAATAGGACCTGCTCTGTGAGGGTCCATGGGGGTCCTGACCACTGAAGAACAGGGTAAAAGGGGGCTAACAAAGTATCAGAGAAACAGATGGACTACAGTCTGTAACTGTAGAACTACAAAGTGCACCTATATAGTAAGTGGAGCTGATAAAATGGACAATGAGCACAGAAACAAGGAGGTGGTCATAACGTTATGCCTGACTGGTGTATGATATGTACCATATGAGTTACAGAAATTTTTTCTCCAGCAGTATCTCAGAATACTTCTGTGCACCCCCACCTAATCTAGTTTTACATTTCCTTCCACCTTCACAGAGAATCCTTGCGTTGGAGACCTTACGAGAGAAGAATTCTCAGCAGATCCTGTCCAGAGATCAGGAAATCGCGGCTCTGAGGCAGCAGCTTCGACCGGACACTGCCGAGGTTGTGGCCGGCTTGCAGGCCCAGTTGAATCAGCAGAGACAAGAATCAGAAACGAGAGAGAGACTGTTTCATTCCCTGAAACAAGAGACAGAGGAGGTGAAGAACAAGTTAGCAGCCGTATCTGCTAAATGCCAGGACCTAGAGAACAGACAGGAACAGGCTGAGGTAGAACAGTCTCTCACAGATACACATGCATACAGAACTGGCAATAAAACAAAAGGCAGGTCAAGAAGGCACTGAACCCTTTGCACAGCTTGAACACTAGATGGCAGCATTTGTGCATCTACATGTGATAGTTCAACCAGAGAACTTGTACCACTCTGTAATGTGCTCTGGGTTTCTCAAACGCTAGAGGGCGCTCCCGAGCGAGTCACAAATGAATGGGTTAAGATGGAGCATTTGAGCAAAATCATAGTTTACAAATGCTTAAATATTTTTAATGTAAAATAATACATTCATTTCCTGAACACAGAACAGCATAAAACATTTTATCACCGCTGTTATATTTTTAGGAGCTTTTAAACTCGAGTTATAGGAGTTTAAAACGGCGCTCGCCAACCAATCAGCACTCAGTAGCAGTAATGTTAGCGTCCTTCTGCCCAAAACCCTTTTGCTGTAGAAAAAAGGAAAAATACAGGTACGTTTTCTTAGCTTTTTTAGTGAAATACATCTACTTCTGCTTTGTAAAATTAAAGAAACGTTCTGGGCGAGTGATTAGAAACTATTTTAACTTTTTTAGCCGTTTAGCTCTAATCACCCTCCATTCATTGAGGACTCGCTCGCAGGCGCCCTCTGCTGTTTAACAGTCCTGTTTCTGATATAACGGAGGAAATAGGAAGAGGCCAGGCTCCTCTAAACCGGCTTTGGTCCAACCTGTGCTTCTCAAAAAAAGCTGTTATTTCAGAATTAGTCAGTTAAAAAAGATTTCCTTCTCAGTGAGTCTGCAGAAATTAGTTGGCAGTTTGCTTGATAATAACACATATTTTATTAAAATGTTCCCTTTGCTCTCGCTTACAGTACGAAAGAGAGACTTATGGACGCACCCTTTAAATTTTTTGTCACATAGTTGCTCTGTTTCAATACTTTTTTAACATGCCCTCGCCTCGATGGGCATCACAAGGGGCCAAGGTGGGAACGCACTGGCCCAGGCAGGTTAGCCACAGTGAGCCAATCAGCTAGCCATGCAAACTTTAAAATGCAAAACACATAAAATGTGTGAATAACTGCTTTGACTGGCTTTAAGCTTCGGTGTAGAGCCCTGTTAGCCATATTAGCATGCTAACTAGCTAGCCAGCAGAGGAAAGTGACAAAGTTGTATCAGCAGTCATGAATAATAGATGGAGTAGTTTGCAAGCTAAATCCCAGCAATCAATGTAGTTCTGAAGTATTAAGCATTGTATAGTATTATACCGCTATGGCTTATAAACATCTTTGTCCACCATGATTTATGGGATTAAAACAGGGAAATGCATCAGATCGCAAACGATTCCTGCGCCAGTTCTGCTGCTGAAGTCAATACTTGTGTTTACTCGGTATCTCAACCCTCCGGAGGCTCATCCAGAGCCTTCACTTGAGCTAATGAAATAATGGAACGGTCCTTAAAATGGTGTCAGGGTTTTTCTCACGGGGAAATGGTGAGGCTAAGCGGACGATGGCAATGATAAAACTGAACAGGTAGAGTGTTTTAAGTGTATTTTAAAGGCTACCCTGTATTTCCTTCTGTTACGACCCGGTGCTGTCAGACCAAACACCGGACACTTTTACACCAGCAACCCAGCTCATAATTATTTTATGACAAGACGCTGAGCTGAACAATGGCTTCAAGGATGAGTATGTATCCAAAATAATAAAGGTTTTAAATACTAACTAAACCTGAAAGTAAAACGAAGCACAAGAACAAAAAGCTGACCAATCTCTCTGCTTTAAAACCAGGAGTTGCCAGGCTGGTCTGGACAGGTGTTCTTCCAGGTCATGTCAGAGGGGAGAGAGCCCTGAACATGGCTGGTGGCTTGGTGACCTCTTTTATACATGAGTGCGCCCCCGGGTGGCCAATCATGGACCTGCATGCACTAATTATAAGATTATTTAGCTTATTTCTAGACATTATTTATGTGTTTTAGGTCATTTTATCAAGTAAAATTATTTCATTGTACTGGCAGATCATTTTCTGATTTCAAGCACATTTCTTTAAACAAGCAAAATGATCTGTCAATATAGTGAGATCATTTTACTTAATAAAATTACTTAAAACAAGAAAAATAAATGTTATAGTTCTGTAAGACTTGGCATCCTGTCTTGACATATGTAGAAAACATGGACTCGGGTCGATATTTCACATTTTTTAAATTTCCCTTTGAAAAAAAAAATTATTTATGTATTTGTTTATTTCTCTTTTAATCAATGTCACTTTTCTTCTTACTGTATTATATAATTCTTTGTGTGTTTATATCGGTGTATGTGTATAAATGTAGCATAGATGCGGTGTTGTTGGGAGGGTTTTTGTTTGTTCTTTCTCTTTTTAATTTTTTTTTTTAGATATTTTTATTTTATTTGTATTGTCTAAAACAGTCTAAAAAGTGTCTAGAAATAAGGTAAGTAATCTTAAATGAATCTCAACAGGAGGGATATTAGACTCACTGACTATATTTAAGACAATTTTACTTGACAAGATGCCATTTTTTGCAGTGCATGTCTAATATTTTTAGTGTGAGATCAAGCTAATAAACAGCAAAGACACTTTTCATTGCTGTTTTTGCTCCTCTTTATCAAGGATGGCAATAATTCTATGCACAGTAAAGGAGAGAAGTGAGAAGTCATGGAATTCATTACCAGGAACAACATTCACATTCCTTGACTAGATGCCCTGGAATGTTCCCTTCGTTTTTTTTAGCAGTGTCCATTTAAGCTGTGCCTGGGAAGAAGCTATTGCTGTGACTTGTGTTATTGTTTTCGGTACAGCAGTAGTGATTACCCAGCGAAGGAGCATAAACTGCTTTTTCAGATTTCCTCCCACTGCAGTCACTCTGATGTTGTCATGTAACGCTACTGACATATCAAACCTTTTGTTTTCGTACAACAACAACAGTATATTTTATATACTGTATATAAAGGTTTCTATGTAACTGCATTAACATTTACTAGTCTGGTTTTTGAGCAGAGTGGCACCGCAGATGGTCAGACCACCACCAGGGATGCTGCAGTGATACAGGAACACCTGAAAGACGTGAGTGTGATGTCACATTCCCGAGGCGCCTCCGCACCATGGCGACCATTTCCATCTCTTACATAATCACATAATCACAACATCCTGTTCTGGTGTGACAGGAATGCATGAGTGCAAGAACTCTACCAGAGATGGTGCCTCACTGGGCCTTTGTTGCCGTCTCTTTTTGCCGTTCCAAAGGCCTTGGAGAAGAACCAGCAGTGGCTCGCTTACGATCAGCAGAGGGAGGCCTACGTGAAGGCAGTGCTGGAAAGAACCTGCATCCTGGAGCAGCAGCTGAACCAGGCAAATGAGGCCCTTCAGCAGAAAGACAAAGAGGCCAGTTCAGAAGGTCAGTTGCAGGGCTAGGATTTTGGAAAATGACCCGTGTCAGAGTGTTATCTGTGAGGTTGTACCATCTCTGTTATATCGTTACTTACAGACGTGACAAATTAAAGGAAAAATCAGGGCCTTAATCTTCTAATTCGCATGAAAAGAGTGCAGATTTGACCGACTTTAATGACAAACAAACTACTAAAAGTGTAAATTGGATCGCAAATGATGAATCGGTTTCGGTGCGTGAAATCAAGCGCCAGCATACCAGCACCTCATTCACCTATCATTTACACAGCACTCCCTAATTCATGCAGATGTTTCAGTTGGGAGCGAATAAAATGACAGCATTCAGCGGCTCTTGAGCCAATGGCTGTGCTTGTAGGTGGAGTTTGAGGTTGAGCAGTGAGTACAACAACTAGAAAGAATAAAATGTGAAAGAAACAAAACAGCTTAGTTTTTTTAGATGGTAGAATGGTGTGAATGAGATAGTTTGATTATTTTCCTAAAATAACATTTAAATGCTGTATTATTGCTGTTTATGAGATGCTTCTGCACTAGCTGTGTTTAGTGTTTTTTATTTTTTGGTAGAGACATAAAACAAAAGCAAGTCTAATGCAATACTGTCAGTATTTGTTTATTCCGATGTGCACATACAAATTATAAGTGTTGTTATTTTCTATTTTTAATCTTATTTTTGGCATTATAGATGATACTGATAATAGTGTAATTTAGTCAACTACAAATTAAGCAATTTGTTTTTCAGGTTGTTAAACTATCATGCTCAAATTTACAAATTCCTACCAGAGACAAGCTTAATAGTACAGATACGCCAAAGATGAAACTGATGAATAGCAAAAATTTGCGTCCACTCATTTTACAAGCAAATCTGACCGTATGCCACAGTGATGAATAAAGGCCAATGTGAGTAAAGTGTTGGGCCACCACGGACCGAGTCTTGGCAGATTCTACATCTGTGGAACTGTACTGGGTAGGTGGAACAGCATTTTTCCAAACGATATTTCCTAAATTTTTGGGTAACACATGCACTCGCCCACTTGCAGAGAATATGGTGAATTTGAGCATTTTTTTCCACATCTCATTCTGATCAGGTCTTGTATTGTATTGTGTATTATCTCACATTTCATCAGCATCACTTTTACTGAATGTGTCCTTTTGACCAGTTTCCAACTGATGTCTTTAACACAGATCTCAATGCAGATGTTACTATAGTCACTGTTCTTATTGAAACACTGACCAGTTGAGAAGTCTTTGTGACTGAAGCTCCGGCCATCCATGCTCTAATAATTCTAATAAAACCCTCTTTCAAAGTCACCTAGGTCTTTTCACCACTCCTTTTTTCAGTTTTTTCCTTTAATTTGTCACCCGTCGGTCTATAATAGGGTTGTAAATCTCTGACCCCACAATTCGATTTGATTAAAATTATTTTGCAAACAATTTGATGCATCATGAAATTGTAAACTGACACTTTGATTTGATTGTTTTGTATGATGGACTAGGAACCTGGAGGAACTGTTTATAAAAATGAGCACATACTGTTACATACATACAGTCTAGAATTAGTAGGACTAATTAGGATTACAGACTTTTTGGCTTTTTCTTTCTTTAGTGCGAGTATAGTGATCGTTACACCCTCACCAAATCAAACAGACCTAACGCACCTTCCTGTTTTGCAGTAAAGCAAGCTATGGAGGCGCAGCGGTGCTATGAGGAGCTCCTGCGCTCAGCCTGCGCTGAGCTGGAGGAAGAACGTGAGCGAGTGGCTCAGGGCAGACAGCGTCTGAGTCAGCTGCAGCAGCAGTGCGAGGAGAGGCAGCGAGAGGTAGTGGAGATGAGGCAGCAGCTGCAGGCCGTGCGCCTCGGTGGTAAGAAGCAGCTGCAGGAAGAGAGGAGGCGCATCGAACGTCTGTGTGCCGAGCTGGATGGTGTCAGTGCCAGGCTGGAAGATGAGAGGCTGAGGTCGGCAGAGCTTCAGCAGCAGGTAGCAGGCTGGCATTTCAAGAGAGAAAATATTCCTGGTTAAATAGCGATAATCAACAAACAGAAGGCAACAAGCAATGCATGACTAAGAGCTTCAGTTTGGTAGGTACTGGCGTCAAAGCAGTGGATCAGCAACGAAATCTAATGTATACAATTCTCCCCTTGGAGAACCCAAATGGAGCAGAGGGGCCAAGACAGGCTTGGTGTAAAGAAGGATGAGTATTTAGTAATGACATGGAAAACTGTGCACACTGGCCGGGTTATACTTGAGTTAGAGTGAGAAGTGATAGGATGTGGCGACTACTACTGTTTATATCGATGCTATATACTTTTGTCCAGTTTTATTCTTGAGTCAGGGAGTGACTGCTGCTCACGCGGTGTCTACAATTTCCTGTGCTTTGTGAATGATTCACCTGCAAGATGTGACAGAAGCCGAGAGACGAGAGACACACAGACCTTTAATTCAGTGTTTTCACTCCAGGCTTGGAGCCCCTGCACTGTACAGTTTAGTGTTTCTCTGCTGTTCACACCTCGTTCAGCTCAAGAAGGGATTAATTAGCTAATAATATCAGGTATTTTAACCAGGAAACCACAGTTCTGCAGTGCAGGGGTTTCAGGACTGGAGCTGAACTCTGAACTAACTGCACTAGCAAACTTACAGAATCACGTCTGTCGAAACACAACGTCGTTTTCCGAACCACGACATTCAGTCTGATATTTAACGTTCATGTTTCTCCATTCAGACGTCATTTAAATCTCCAGAAACAGAGAGTAAAGTTATACCGGCTGTCTGCAGCTCCGTTAGGGGGGGGGGCGACTGTTCATCTCTCGGCTGTTAACATTAGCTAAAGTTATCTAAAGGCCAGCATTGATCTCATCTGTGTTAATTAGCTGGTGTCGTTACCCTCCTATGATGACAGAGTTTACCTCCTCTTTATGAACACCATGGGATCCTTTACCCACCCTCACGTGAAGAGCCGGTGGGCTTCTGTGCTTTTAAATGCTCTGAGCGACCCTCCAGAATAGGGAGAGGGGCTGAGTATGAGATAAATATAAACGTCAGGAAAACAAATTTGATTGTTTTTCTGTCAGTTTAAGTGGGACCAGGAGTTCAGGGGAAACTGTATAAGGATCACAGCCTATTTTATCGACTCTGTCGAGGTAACGTTTTCACTCTTCCAAAGTAAGGAGAGTAATTTTAGCCATCTTTCACCTCCAGTCATGTTCATGCGGAGCAGCGAAGCCAGAAATTCAGTCACAAATATGGCGGCAACAACTGAAAAATCACGTGACTGAAACCGTAGGATAGACATTCGCTTTGAAAGCGAGTTTGAAGGGCCCACATCCTGCATTATTTTGGTATTTTCTTGTTTTCTCTCAGGTCTGCTTATGATATTTAAATAAACACGCTGTTTTTGCTAATGTGCCTTTGACACTGGCATGTGTAACTGAGCTCTGTTCTTATTGGCTGTCCTGTATTGGGCCTTATTCAAAAAGTAGTCCAGGTTTGAAACTTCCTTATAACTTAAGTGTGAATGGGTGGAGCCAAAATGCTGTAGGCTGTATATAATGTATGGTAATGTGCGTAACATCACAAAAACAGTGAAGGTGGACCATGAACTGGGGAGTCATTTTTTGAAGAAAGAAGAAAAACGTTGTTTTCCAGGCCCTTTAATACTGCAGTGGGACTGGCTCAAAAACTGGCCTACTGTGTTTGGCGTAGCTTAGCTACTAAGCATACTTTGGTGTTTTTAGGTTATGTGTAATGTAGCAAAGGCTTTATATGGGCTATCTAAGCGCTATGGGTACAGTGTAGTGTTGCCTTTAAATTAAGCATTAATGTTGTCAGTGATAATGAGTGCGTTTACAGGCACTCAGTAATCCGATAGTAATCGGATTTCTGCAGTTACCCGATTATTCAAACGGTCACGCACCATACTCTAGAAATCTGATCAAGAAATCTGATAAAGAGGCTGGATTTTAGCTCAGTAGCTGCGTCGTGAAGTTTGAGTTTTACGTTACGTTTACGTCGCGTCTTCTTCTGTGAGTTTATTGGCTGGTTGTAAAGCAGAAATCTGATTACTGTCTGACTCATGTAGACCCGAAGTTTCCCCATTTTCTGATTACTCAAGAGCATGTAAACGCGTTGATCGGATTACTGACAAAGTCTGATTTTCTGCAGTTATCAGATTATTAAATCCACATAAACGCACTCAGTGTTGTTTTTAGAGAACTTAGGTTCAATTTTTAGATAAAATGAGATGCTTTTGTCTGGTGGCCGACAGGACACTATTCACAGTACCATCAAAATCACGTTGCAGACTCATAAACACGCTGGAAACACAGAAAACACCTTTATTAAAATGACTACATCTAAGCTACGTTTTACAAACGCACTGCAAATAAAGGAAACACAGGCAACTTCTGACACTCTGCACAACCAGGCAAAACAAAGGAAGTGAGCCACAGCACAACGGATATGTTTCTAGCAAAGTCAAAGGGAAGGAATTCACTGACAGTCACTGACGTAGATAAGACCACTGGCACTCACATCCCAAGTTCATGGTTAACCTGGCTGGCTGGTTTGCTATCTGACATGTCACAGCTGTGCTGTAGTAGTTCTCTGGTATTACTACTCTACAGATAATTCCCATTATGAAACACTTATATTAGTAATCTGCTCAAATAAAAGTTAACCTTTTTATATCGGTGCATGTTTATGCTGCATACACAGTCAGAATGGCTCTGTCCTCCGGAAACATCTCTTTTGTGCTGTGACTGGCTTGGTATTTCTGAAGTTGCATGTGTTTTCTGTATTTACAGTGCGTTCATGAAATGTAGCGCCCATGTTTTTTTCATGAAAGTGTTTTCTCGTTTTTTATTTGCATTTTGTTGGGTCTTCTCAGCCACCGTACTTTCGTACCACATTATCAGTGTGCAGTGTGCATCATATTTGTTCAGGGTATTCAAATGCACCTGGAATTGTACTGATATTCCTCTCTTTAAGGTGAACCTTCTCCAGAAATCTCTACTGACTCAGCACGAGGAGCAGAAGCGAATGTCAGTTTTGGAGGAACAGGTACGCACAATGGCTTATGCCATCTCTGCAATGCTCTCAATGACCCTCTTTTAGCAGGCCCCCTAGTGGCCAGTCCACTGGCAAAATAGAAAACTGACTCAAATATATTTAATAAATATAGTCAACGTTAAATGTCCTCATAACACTGTTATCAGATTAACTAGGTCATTGATGTCTATCTGTGTGCGAAGTGTTGTGACTCTGTGTTGAGCTGCTAGGGAGCAATGAGGGGTGAAAGCAGAGGAGTGAGAAAGGGGTGATAAAGACCACCATGCCAAGATGATCAAAATCATTATCAAAATCATACACCTTTCCATCAAAATATATTCCATCAGTAAACAAAATGCATAGTTCAACTGAGGGACTTCCAAAACCGGTATAAATGGCATTTTATGGCTGCTGTGGAAAGAGGTAAATGACTTACCCCCACAATAAATGCCTGTTGTTTAAATGTAAGCCAAAGGTTTTTCCGTAATCCACATGCTCATTTACTGACAACAAGCTCTTTAGCATCGTGGGTGATTAACCTACCTGGGCCAGTGCCCTTGCGTAGGATTAAAATAGCCTCTGTTTAGCCATCAAGTTTACGATCTCTGTCTACAGCTTAAATTAGACATGGCTAAACCATTAAAGCCTTAAAGTTCACCTCTTGATGCTGTGTGTTCTCCTAGTGACAAATATAGTAAAGCAAGCAGTTAAAACAGTCAGCCAGCGCTGCCTATCTAACATGTCCTCTGACCAGATCTCTTATTCCTTATCCAATTACTGTGTTTGTTACTGGTTAAGCAAAGCTGAGATTATCTGAAAGTCTAAATTTAAAGCTAGAGTCCCTAATGGATGTGTTTCATCCATCTGTTCTACGACAGGACAATAATTATTTATTTACCCACCCACAGATTCAGCTGTCTGCCAAAGATCTGGAGGACGAGAAGCGCGATAATCAGCATCTCCAACGGCAACTTCACAAAATTTTGAAGGAGCTGCGAAAAGCCAAGGACAGAGTGGCAAGATTAGAATGTGAGGTAAGAAACAGGCTGGCACAGCACGTCCACCACATGGATCCAGACATGTTGAGTGTGAACTGATGAGTCCTGTACGTTGTGGGCCGCAGAACGCACAAAGAGAGACTCCCTCATCCGAGCTCAGGGCCTACAGTAAGGTGGAGAAAGCTTGCAAGGAAGGTCAGCAGAGCTTTACCTCACCCACAAGAGCACACAGTCTGCTGGACGAGAGCTTTCTGGAGTGTCCCAATTGCAGAGCTCAGTATCCCACCAGTCGCCACAGAGAGCTTCTTGCACATATTGACCAGTGCCTTGATTAAGTTGCATAAAACACCAGATGACCTGTTACTGTGTTATTGATTTTGATACCTGTTTTTGAGTCGTCTCATAGGTGGACATTATAAAGTGCCTTGTTTTGTTCTTCCATATACATTTTTCCCTATTAGAAAATGAGAAGTAAGAAATCTCACATTCTCTAAGATGTGCAGTGTATTTGTTCAAAACCGATGCAGTATTTGTCTCAGTTTTGAGTTATGCAGCAATGTTCGAAAAACAACAATCGTTTCAGTTTCAGTTTTGAGTCAATTAAACAATATTTGGTTACTTGGTTGGTTGTTCTTTCCTTTTCTTTTACTATGAGTCATTTACGTTGTGCAAATCAGATCACGTTAGGTATGCAAAGCTTTGTCCCATACTATTACATGCTACTGCTCTGTGGTGAAAGCCAAATAAGGTCTTTTGAGGCGTCTGAAGGGAAGTCTATTAAGAAAAGCCTGGAATTTTTCCTCCTGATTACCACCAGCAGGAACTCGCTAGATATAAGGAAGGGAACGCCTAGCTAGTAGCTAATGAAAAGGCAAAGTGAGAGATTTAAGACGAGCATTGATAATTTGGAGACTTATTTGCATTTATAATCACTCCAGCTGGTTTCCTGATACGTTTAATCTGTAACCAGAAACTGTCAAACACTAAAAAGTTGTGAAGCTGGGGTCAGCGTGTTGTTTGAATTTTCCCGTTCCACCTTAAAAGGTGCAGCAGTTACATTTTTGTGCCTCAGGCACCATTTAAGGTGGAAGGGGATAATGGTCAATGAGAAACTGATTTCAGCCTCATAAAAAGTTGAACGTTGAGAGACATTTAACAAGAAACTGTTCTACTTTTGGAAGAGTTTCCTGCCAGAGATGCGAGAAAAGCGGCCACAGCTGAGCTAAAGCTTAAAGCAGAGCAAAGTAAGTCTGTGTTTTCATTTATATTATTTTTTTAGCCTGAACTAGTACATTAGCACATACTGAGACAGACTTACAGCCAAGATGGTAAAATTGACATAAAATGTTGTGGCTCCCAAGGTGGTTTGATTACTGTTGAAAGGACAAAATGGCTCTTCTTAACATTTGGGTTGCCGACCCCTGGTCTGGGTGATTTGACAGTGAATGTTGATCAGCTAAATACAAGGAACTGTGAGGTGTGGACAGAGTGTACACTTCCATATGGCTAATAAAGCTATAAGAATTACAATGACAAGATGTGTCAAGTCTAAATAACATATACCTAACTATCCAAACGAATAATGCCGGCCTTACACTTTTTTTAAAGGGATTTTACGATTGCATGCATATTTCCAACGTCGGAATGAAATAATGAGAGTCTTGCTAGTCTTGCATTGCGCTTGCATCATCTCGATCGTTTAGTATAACGTGGTCACAATGGTGGTCTTAAGTCAGTCTTTTTTTCGTCTCGACGCTGCGATATAATCAACCACGTTTAATATTATCATACGTCTTAAGTGTCGGCTCATGCGAATAGTGACGCCCCAGGCCGTGTGTGAGATGATCTGCCAGAATATACAATGGGAAATAATCTCAAAAATCTAGTTGCAGTCTTGCAAACAGTGACCCTATAAGACCCCCAGTCTTTGCAAAATCAAAGTCTGTGACTAAAAACTCTGACATTGTCTTTAGATGTGAGAGGCTGTCCATTTTAGTCTTCTAGTGTACGGTTAGCATAAGTCAAAAGCCCAAAATACTGAATCTAACAGTGCATACTTGATTATATCAACTCAGACATGCTGTCTGATTTTGTTGACGTGCTACACCATGATGCTCAGGCAAACCAGAGTATGTTAGTCCATCAGATCATTGCATTTTAAATTCAAGATCACAGTGTAAGGCAGACTAATCTTACAAAAATGTGAGTTAGAGCATTCCAAACAGCCGTGACCTTCGTGGTGGTTAAAATACAGTTAGTACAGAGGCCGTAAACAGACCATGTGTAAATATACTCTGTACATATTCTAGAGGTACATTAAAGCAATAATGTATTTACCCAATAGAGTCAGTGCAGTACCTGACCACTCTTAACGTCTCTGTTGTCAAGGAGATTCTCCTTGCTTTGCCCCTAAGAGGAGACAGAACGATAAGTAAAGCCTTATTGAATTCATATCAGTAATCTGAAAACATAAAACTCAATAAAGGCCTCTCACTGCACTTCACTACACACGTTTGTCCCAGGCAGTATGATTCTCCAGATACCCTGATGTGCATTTGCTTTAAGAACACTAACACAGCTGTACAACATTTTGACTACACTCTTTAAAAAGATGGTTCTTCAAGGTTTCTAGTAAAGGGAATGGCTACATTTAAAACTAAGAGTTCTATATAGAACCTTTTCATGCTTAAATGGTTCTGTGAGTGGTGAAATCAGATTTATGGAGAATGTGTTGTATATGGTTCTATAAAGAACCAAAAAGGGTTCTTCTATTGTTAAAAGCTTGACATAAAAATAAAGGAGGAACCCTTTTTAAACGTCTATACACATTTAAAAAAGATTAGTAGAGAAAATGGGTTATATAGAACCATGAACACTCAAATCACCCTTTGCATGATTAAAAGGATCTTTGCATCATGAAAGGGTTCTTTAGATTGACAGAGAATATGCTGTTTATGGTTCTATACAGAACCTTTTTGAAAATGGTTCCATATAGCACCCAAAGGGCTCCTCTATTATTACATTATCAAGCTTGTAACAGCTGAAAAACCCTTTTGGGAGCTACACAGAACCCTTTTCAAAAAGGATTCATGAATCTGAAGAAGCCATTCATGACGCAAAGAACGCTTTAATCATGCAAAGGGTTCTTGGAGTGTTCACTGTTCTATATAGAAGCATTCTCTTTACTAAAGAACCCTCAAAGAACCATTTATTTTGAAGAGTGTAGAAGTTAGAAGACTGCATGGCTCCCTGGCAGGAAAAGGGAGGTGATGACTGGTGTGCAGTTTGGGAGGTAGGTGGGGTTATGCAAAAAGGGGCGGGGTCAAGTGAACTGACATGACTCCACAAGCGATCCCAGCTCCAGAATATCACTCTCCAAGATGTTACTCCTGACAGAGGTTCCACACCATCCCCTCCATCCCCATGTGCAGAACATCTCCTATTTCTCTTTCTTCTCTGAACTCCAGCGTTCTCACTGGTTGGTGACCACGATCGAGACGGTGGTTCAGATGGCCATTTTTCTGGTTTCGGTGGTCAGCAACATCGGTGCGTTTACACTCGTTCTCCAAGAAAGGCGGCTAGCCGACAACACGCTCTTCACCCTGAACCTCTTCCTGGCGGACCTTCTGTTTGTCAGCACCATTCCTTTGGTTACCGCCGTGAGGTGGACCCAGTCTTGGAGGCTCGGCTCCACCACCTGCCGCATCGTCATGTACTTCATCTGCTTGAGTGGCGGAGTGACCATCATCACACTGGCTGCCATCAGTATCGAGAGACTGCTGGCCATCTTGAAGATGGAGACTACGCTCAGCCTGAATCCCAAAAGGGCATCTGCAGGGTTGCTCCTCATCTGGCTCCTCACCGCTATCGCATTGTTACCCCTGTGTTTGTTCTCCAGGGTGGTGACGGTCATCTCGTATGAACAGGTTACCATGGTTTCTTATCTTTTTTTCCATATACATTTGTATTTACATTTGGCAAGGCAACTTAAAGCCACTGCAAATAAGAAGGAATAAAATATTGTGCAATGCAAGACTTCATGTACAGTACTGTGCAAAATTAAGAGACCACCTTTCATTTGTTAAAGTTCCAGTCAAAACATCCATTAAGTATTAATTATTTATTTTGTCAGTGGTGTATTGTAGCAACGAAATATGTATATTTTAGTTTAGTGTGCACACGGTTTACCTTTATTCCAGCTTCCATTCTGTTCAGGAGACTCACTTTCAGTTTCTCAAAGAAATCTGCAGAAAAACTTCCAAAGTTCAGTCTCAGGCCTTATTCACACATACTGTGTGGCGTGAGCGACATGGTGTGGCCTTTCATACACATGTGTTGCGGCGCAGAGCAGCGAGAAAGTTATACAGACATTCATTTTTCCAGACAGATAAATGGTCACATCAGTTACTCTGCTCAATAGAAATATAACTTATGAAAGTACACGGTATGTTTCTTTGTCCTCGACAGCATTCTGACTTGTGATTAGGCAAAAGTTTCAAGTCTGGTGGACCAACCAGGAAATCTGTTTGCAGCACAGAATGTTTAGTGTTTCATCATGAATTAATTAAAATAAAACAGCCTGTGTGAAAGCGCTGACCAGTTAACATGGGTGCCGAAATGATAAGCATGACTTTCCTGATGCCATGCAGAAACATTATGTGTGAATTGGTCCTTAGAAGCTGGTTGATGATTTTCTGAAGTAATCAAACACATTCAGTGGTGTTGAGGTCTGGACTCTGGGGTGGTCAGTCCATTGTTCAGCTTCTTTGTTTGATGTTTCCGTCTCCTTTTCTCAGTGAGGTTCTTCTTGACAGCTACACATCCTTTCAGACCCATAGCGCTGAGTCGTCTTCTCACAGTGGAAGGATGGACAGAAACACCTGTGGATGTTTTCAGATCTGAAGCAGCTTGATTTTCTCCTCTCTCTCAAAGATGAAAGCTTTAAGTGCTGTTTATCTGATGGGGCAGTTTTGGTGTCCACCAGGTGTTTCAGGTGGTTGTTAGGAGCCTCATTTTCTCTGTAGATTTTAATCGTTTTTTTAAATCAGGTTTTGGAAATTCCTGGTTTTTCCCTTTGACCTTCTCTTTCCTTATATGTAATCCCTTCAGCAACATCTTCAAAAACATGAATATTTTTGACTGGAAATCAAATAAATGAAGGGTGGTCTTTTTCACAGTGCTATAAAATAAGTCACTGAGAAAGCATGTTGAGGGTGGCAGGATAAAATGATCAGGTGCTGACGAAAGAGCAGGGTCCTCAGAAGCTTTATGAAGGTGGCAAGAGATTCTGAGATAACTGGAGGTAGCCAGTTTGTTCCATCGACGATGAAACCAACCAATATTCCCTCACAGAACGTAGTGGAAGGGATGGAGGGCAGAATCAAATAGGTAGGTAGAAGCAATTTCAATCCTGAAGGCAAACACTGAGGCTTTGTACTAGTGTGACTGTCTACCAGGGGCCAATGGAACAAGATGTTGTCCCACCAAGCCTGCAAACAACTAAATGGCTCTGTTTTTGTTCACAGAAAGAAATACAGATATGCACCATTATGTGGCCGCACCTGACGGGCGAGATCATATGGAACACCGCCTTCATCGCATTTGGCTTCCTTCTTCCTGCCCTTAGCATTGTGATAAGTTACAGCAAAATCCTGCAGGTAAAAGAGCGCCGTATAATGCATTTCCTTTTACTGATATGCATCACTGTGTCCACATCAAACATCTGTTTCCATTACTGGCAGAGGTAGATCGAGATTGCCCTCTCTTATCAAGCAGGCCATTTTTTTATCAGCACGGATTTTATATCATTGTGGCAAACAAGCAAAAGAACAGCTTATCATAGCGGGTCCTCTTGGTGATGGACAAAACCACTTATCCATGCAAACAGTGACCAGATGTCATTGATAAAGTGAATACATATTATAATTTTATATCCCTGGGAGCTATTAAATTAACTCTGACCATTTTAGGCTGTTTCTCCTATCTGAAAAAATGCAGTTTTGGAGGATTTCTCAAAATAACAACAATAAGAACCGACTGTTCACAAAACCTTTCCATCATGTCAAACTTTACAGACGGATTTCAGTGAAATGCTGAATTATTGTTTTCCTTTTTCTTAATGCAGATAAGGAAGCAATCCAAAAAGAGGCTCCAAAGTACCAGTTCACAAAGCTGTGCCCAGATATGTCCAGTGTCTAAACAAGACTACAAACTCTTCCGCACGCTCCTTATCCTCATGGTATCGTTCTTCATCATGTGGAGCCCTATCTTCATTTTTACCTTTCTCATCCTCGTACGCAACATACACATGGAAATTCCCATCACCCCCACAATGTTCTTCTGGGTGATGACCTTCACTATGGCTAACTCGGCCCTTAACCCTGTCCTTTATAGTGTATATCAGCTGAGGCATAGTTGGCAGAAGCTTGGCTGTGCCAAAGAAGGCAACTCAGGTCAAAGGGAACTAGGGAACAACAGATGCTAGGTCTTATTTATTTTGTGCCTATAAGTTCTTATGCTGATTGTACAGGGAGATTCACTCGAAGAGGCCCCGAATATTCTGTAATAACTCTCGCTAGGATGAAGCAATCTGAACGAAACAGTGTGCTCCTCAGTATATGGAGCTTCGAACAAGCCGGAATGCCCCTGCACCGGAGCGATGAGGTAGATGCTGGACAGCCGTCACGACGTTTGACCTCCATTTGCAACTTCTGGGTGCATACCCCCATTCCCCTTCATGTGTCTGGCAGAAAAAGGAGATCACTTCCAGCATCACATGTAATGCAATCGTTTACACACACGTCAAGGTATGTAGCGTATTTTTTGGTTCAGATTGCTTCATCCTAACGGGAGCTACAACAGAATATTCAGGGCCTCTTTCTAGTGAATCTCCCTGTAATATATGTTGTTTTATACTATGGGTATCCGATCATATCTGCAGTGGGCTGGTGTGGCTACAGGTTTTCATTCCAGCAAAGCAGAAGCTATTCTGCTTCCACTTTTTTGACGGTGCAATATGACTCTGGAGAATGATTGTTCATGGACACGCATTGCCAAGGCCAACACGCTTTTTTAGATCTTTCTAGCCCTAAAACCCTTCGCAAATGTTCTAGAGACAAATACCATGATATAACGTTAGGGCGAACAACGACACAGCAAGTAATGTAGCTAACGTTAGCTAGCTGAGTTAACAAATTGTGGCTACTGTTTCTGCTGTGAAGCCAATCAGCTGCTATCATAAACATTAGCAAACGGGACAAAACAATACTGACCTATTGGTTCTGTGAAACACCAAAAATAAATTAATGTCGCAGCAGGAGCGACCTCCTCATCCCTTTTCATGCATTTCAACTCTCAATGAAGCTGAAATCAGCTTTTTTTCTCCAGCTTCTTGTTCAATTTTCCAGTTTCACCTTAAAAGATGCAGCAGTTAAGAAAATATTTAGGCGCCTCGGCTTCTTGTTCAGATTTTCCCGTTCCACCTTAAGTGGTGCAGGCACAATGCTGTGGGTAGTCACTGTCTGTGGAGGGCAAAACATAATATGAGCAGGGTGACGTTTTCACGGGACTTCACAGGGACTAATGTGCATGTGCGGCCGGACCGGCTATGAAAACAAAAACCATAAAAGCTCGGGTTACACACACACTCAGATGGTGGCGTGGCTTCACTCTCTGCTTAGGACGCTGTTACTCCACTGTGTCTTTACCTAGAAAATAGTTGCTTTCTGTTATACTAATGTTTAAAATGTTGCATATAGAACCTTTAATCAGTTGGTCTCAGGCTTTAACAAGTGCTTCTGCTTTGTTGGAATGAAAATCTACAGCCCTTTGCGAACAAGTCAGACACCCCTGCCTTATACTGTCCTTTTTGATATAATTATTCTCTGAATATTTGGATTAATTTTCTTAAGAAATTACATTTACTTTACGTATACAGCAAAGATCACACTGCAAGCAAGATGCTTCTAGCTGATCATTGCTGCTCATTGTTCAGCTTGGACCATGACATTCATGCTCAAGAAAAATTAAAAAAAATAATTGAAAAAACATGTTTGTACAGTTTGTTTACATTCAAGTGTAAATGTAATTTCCTTCCCTCATTATTAGATGCACGAAATCTGATAAAGGTATCAGCTGTAAAGGGAACTGAGTGTTATCTCTATTTTGGTCGCATCCTGTAATTGTTTGGAACTGAGATGTGTTTGTTAATAATCTTATTAACTCTCTAAGACTGAACGTGTCACTGGGCACACATTCACGACTTGTGTTTAAACTTAATTAACTTTACAGCTGTTTGAGATATCAATAAACTTTAGTTTCCATGTTAAACTAGAGAAGATGAGCTTTCCAACAACAGGCCATCTGCAGAGCTGCCTGTACTGGCAGCTCATTAGATGACAGTGTCTACAGATGTCCAGCAGCTATTTTTTCTACGTTTTCTTGCTTGTTGTGGTCATTGCTTGGTAGCCAGCCAGAGAATTGAATACACCATCCAGATGATCCAGTCAAAGCTGGGATAAAGACCCTCCCTCACCGCTGTTGTTTCGTTTGGAAAACATAGCAGGTTTAAGCCAGACTTTATAAAACTTCAAAATATATGACATCAGACTTTAGAGAATCGAAATTGTCATAAAAATGAGTGCTGAAATACTACAAATGCTTTTCAAAGGTAGTGACGAGGAGGCCAGAGACAATCAGGAGTGTGATGTTCCTCTAAGAGCAAAAAATAAAAAGCTGAGACAAATGGTCAATATATAGACAGTAGAGGCTTCATTTATTCTATTTCTTCTGCATTAATTCTGTATATTTTTGTTGATTTTTCTGTAAAATGTGAAAATTTTTATTTTTTGTGGGTTTTATTTTTATGTTAACAACTGTTCTTACTGATAACACTGAGTTTGTGCTGAATCAGACCATTCAGATTACTTAACAGTGGTTACAGTCCAGTCAGATACACTTAGCCAGCCAATTTTAACCCTGGGTTCTAAAGGGTTAAGAAGGCGACGGATAGTTAAAATAGACAGAATACAGGATAAGTACTTTAGATATAGTGCAAGATGTTGGGGCACAATGTAACATGGATATTTAATGTAGTTAAATATTTACAGATTTACTCTGATTTTTTTTTTTATCCTTTTTTTTTATTCCTGAGTTGCATGTTTACATCACATAATTCACACCTATATTATTTTATTCGCCTTCTTGGTGCCTGTAATACAGCACCATTTTAAAGCATGTAAGTAACTTATAGTAAAAGTTAGCCAGGCTCAAGTACAGCCTCCACACTTGGGGGGTTGGTTTTAACTCAGTGTTAAATCTAAGCCTTCTAAAGTAAACAATGAGAGACATATCCTCTCATATAAAATCATAATAGTATTTTTTTGGATGTGTTTATGCCGATATTTACTTTTGTGGTCAAAAATAAATTTGCAATGTTTGACAGCTGCTTTTTAGGAATCATATTAAACGTGATAAATATATTTGTATACAACACATAAATGTGTTTAGATAGGAAAGCTCATCTGGTTTAAACAACAGAAATGTAGTGAATTCAGTGTGTTCTGCATTATTTTACCGGACATTTTAGCGACTAGTAATAATAAAACCTGCAACCCTGCCACATTTGGCTAAATTGTGCTTAAATTTTAGGCGCTAAAAATAATATATATCTGGCTGAAAGAAATGGTCACAGACCTGGATATATAGAGAGTGGACTCCTCCAGTGACCTTTATAAGTTGTCAAAGTGATTGTTCAGATTGTTTATTCTAATTTTTCTGTATGTATTCTGTAAGTTTTTGTTTTGTATTTTTGTAAAAATGTGAAATTGCTTCCAGCAATGTGCATTTTTCTGCATATTTTTGTTCAATATATATATTCTGAATGTATGAAAAAATATTATTCTTGTTCAAATATGTTTTAATTTAAGCAACAACCAAACTGTTAGGCTGTGCTAAATTCTCTCCTAGTCTGGGAACACATGCTTTGCCTTGTTGGCCGATTAATATTTTAGAAAAACGCTGGCAAGCCAAGTATCACACACATCTTCGAAGGCCAAGTGGGATTCTAGGAACATCTCAGCTTAAGAAGCCTGACTGCATTACAGGAAAATCTTCACTTAAGAGGCCAAGGGATATTATAGAAACGTTTAATCTAAAGACGCCAAGTAACGTTCCTGAAGTTTAAGAAGTCTGAGAGTGATCTAGAAACATCTCAGCTTCCAAACACAGTCGTTTCAGTAATATCTATCATATGGTTGGTCTGTCAAAAGAAAAAACCTGTGGGTGTACCCTAGAGGTGGGCGATATAGTAAAAATGTAACATTGCAATATTTTAAGATATTTTTACTATACTCGATATGTCAGGTTTTATTTATTTCTCAGACATCTGATCAGCTGGAACAGAGAGAAAAGAGCCAGCAGTGCTACATTAAAAAAATACTTAAAAATACTGTGAATATAGCAATTTACGTTTAATATTTGTCACTAAATCCAGTTAAACGGGACTAAGTTTGCTCTCTTTATAATGAGACGTGCAGTTGGTCAGTGTCTGCAAGCAATGACGATATACATGTTCAGAAAAGCATATGGTGATATAATTTATCACAATAACAGTATATATAGTTATATTGCCCAGGCCTAGTGTTCACTATGAGCAGCAACATGTAATCTCTGTGTCTAATTCTGAGAGTTTAATACAGCAGTTATTAGCTTATTAACTGCATTGCCACGACTTGACTGACAAGCGGCGGAGGATTAATCGGTTAAGAAAGCTCAGAGAGATTTCTGGACCTCACGTCACATCATGTATTCTCCTAATCACCAGCTCTTTAGATCCCTTACTCATTAAGTCACTCATTTCTCGAAGCGGGAGAGTTCAAAACACATTATCAGCTCACTAATTCACTTGAGGGATTGAGCTGTTCCTTGCAGAACTTTGGGAAGCCACGGCGAATCTTCTACTACTCTTTCTCTTTTGATACTGTGCTTCTGAAAGGAAGAGGACATTGAGGAATCATGCCAGACAAGGACGCTGTGGAGAAGTTCTTGGACAACAACCCTCAGATTGCCAAAGAGTACTTTGACAAGAAGCTGAAGGCAGAAGTGACTGGGGCAGCTTTCACTGAGCAGGTTGATATCAAAGACGCTGTATCTTTCGAGGAAGCCACTCAGATAAACGAGGTTGCGTTTGTTTTTGAACTGGTCAAGGGGCTGCAGGACTCAGGCCAGTTTGAGAGGTCAATGCACAGGATTCTTCAAAGGATTGCACTTTTGACCAGCGCGGATAAATGCAGCTACTTCGTCTGCAGGTTCAGGAATGGCATAGCAGAACTGGCTACTTTGCTCTTCGATGTGACCGCCACGTCCCCGTTAGAGAGACACCTTGTGAATCCTGATGCAGAGATTGTGTTTCCTTTGGATATCGGGATAGTTGGGAGAACAGCACAGTCTAAGAAGTCCTTTAATATTCCAGGTGTCTAAAGGTACTGAGATGTACCCTTGAAGGTACCACCCCAGTGATGAAGGGTACTGCCCCAGTGAAAAGATGGGTACCGCCCCAGTGACAAAGGGTACCGCCCCAGTGAAAAGAGGGGTACCGCCCCAGTGACAAGAAGGGTACTGCCCCAATGACAAGAGGGGTACCGCCCCAGTGATGATGGGTACTGCCCCCGTTGAAAAGAGGGGTACCACCCCAGTGAAAAGAGGGGTATTGCCCCAGTGACAAGAGGGGTATTGCCCCAGTGAAAAGAGGGGTATTGTGTGAAAATGTAGAAAAATTGCTGGAAGCAAGGAGTTCAGAAATATATATATAT